GCGAGTTGATCCTCCCCGGTTTAGGGTTTAGGGTTTAGGGTTTAGGCAATGCCCGCGCACCCCAAGAAACAGCCTACTTAAAGGATCATGGGACTTAGTAAGTAGGGTTATAACTAAGGTAACTATACTTAGAACCCCAATTTAGGGACTTATAACCTTACTTACTAAGTCCCATGATCCTCCAAGTACTGTTGAGGGCTCAGGGTTCAAAACGGTGGTGTTTCGAGAAAGGACACACAGCTTGAACCCCTTGGAGTCCTGGCAGACAGCCCACTGGCTGAAAAACACGTCGAATGTCCCCCCACTGGTCAGAGCAAGAATGCTAACAGCCTAGAGTCACAATCTTGCGAGTGCCTGTGTCCGAAGTAGTAGTAGTAGTAGTAGTAGTAGTAGTAGTAGCAGTAGTAGTAGTAGTAGTAGTAGTAGTAGTAGTAGTAGTAGAAGCCTAGTTAGTGCGATGAAGGCACAAGGTCTTGGATGAGCCTCCTGGAAAGTCGCACCTGGCCGTGCCGTAGTCCGGCATGAAAAGAGTGTCCCCGGTGAAGAGGGCATCGCCGATCAGGTAGCACACGCAGGCAGGTGTGTGACCCGGTGTGTACATGACAGAGGCTGGAAGTTCGCCAAGCTTGAAGGTCTCTCCATCTGCGAAGAGGTGATCAAACTGGGACCCATCCTTCCTAAAGTTGGGGCCGAGGTTGAAAACCCCGGAGAACACCTCCTGGACGAGCTTGATATTCTCACCGATGGCGATCTTGCCGCCCAGCTTGGACTGTATGTAGGGAGCCGCAGACAAGTGGTCCGCATGCGCATGCGTCTCCAGGATCCACTCCAGTTCGAACCCGCTCTGCTCGATAAATCTGATTACTTGGTCAGCGTGCTCCGTGTTCGTGTTCCCGGAGGAGAAATCAAAACGCATTACCGAGTCGACCACTGCCACCTGGCAGCGCTTCTAATGCGGCTTCCCTGGTTGGCGTCCTTCCCTTTACGATTTATAGCTCCTACATGAACATACACAGACACCTATACGCGTCCAGGATTTCTTTAGGGTTTGGCGCCCTTCTCCTTCAACGCTCATATGGGGGTTTCCGAAAATTAGGGTAGCTTATTTTCGGGGTCCTTATAATAAGGATCCTATTATTCAGGGTACTATATTAGGGTCCCCTATTTTCGGAAACCCCCTAAACCCAAAACCCCTAAACCCTAGACCCTAAATCCTAAACCCCTAAACCCCCAACCCTTCTCCTTCAACGCTCATATGGACATGCAATGCAGCCTTCTCATCCCCGCACCTTGTTGCTGATCGGATCCCGAACCACGCAGCACACAGTGTGTGTCTCCTCTTCGTAGAAGACCTCGGTTTAGGGTTTAGGGTTTAGGCCCCGTAGCCCCTCTTTTTGTTACGGTTTAGGGATTTAGGGGGGTTTAGGGGTTAGGGATCAGGGCTTATAATAAGGTTTAGGTACCCTTTTCCCTACTATATGGTATGATTACTAAGGGAACCCCAAGAAAGAAAAAGGGCAAACGGGTACTACTGGGGAGCCTAGAGACCGTCACGTGCGGCTTGCTCGGATCGGCAGTCGGAATGCACGGACCTTGCCGCTCTCACAAAAGTTAGGTTTAGGGTTTAGGGTTTAGGGTGTAGGGTGTAGGGTTTAGGGTGTAGGGTTTAGGGTTTAGGGTTTGGGGTTTGGGGTCAAAGGGCCCTCCGGTAATGGATACTCTGGTCCTCTGGGTGGTCTGCTATTTCCCTTATGGGAAGTGCACGCAAAAGCACTAGGTTCCGGCTGGCCTCACATTGCCAACATAGGACCCAGAGAAACAGGAGCAACCCCCTAAGCCCTAAACTCTACATCTTAAGCCCTCAGCCCGAAACACCAAACACAAAACCTTCAGCCCTTAAGCCCCGAACCTGAAACTCTATATACCTTAAGCCCTACCGATAGGCCCCATAGTAGTTCCTTTTTGGGACTACCTAATGGGATTCTAAATATGAGCCCCAAAAAGGAACTACTATGGGGTCTCTGGGTAAGCCCTAAACCCCAAACCCCGAAACCCTAAACCCGAACCCTCAAACCCCGAAACCCTAATGTTGTCGTCCCTTTAATAA